GGGGGGAAGGGGAGTAATGCCACTAACTTTGCCAGACTTGTGCTCCTGTCCTCTGCCTGCCATTGCATTACCGTCTCTGCTGCCTTTTAATCTTTATCCTGCTGCTGTTTATTCTTCGCCGTCCATGTAGTCTTCACTCCCCTCTCTTTGTTCCAATCTTCCTGTGAAAGGCCTTCCACGACTCAGACCCCAAATTCAGACTTCAGGGTCAGGGAAAGGCCGAGTTCGTCAAACTCAGAAAAGTCACAATCGGGTACCTCAGCAGTCTGGTCCAACAGGCTCCCAGCAAACAGTCACGTCTCATAATAAAAACCATTCAGAGGAGTCACATCCCACGAGTGAAAAGGCAGATTCACCAAGCAAGAGTCATGTCTCAAAGGTAGGAGTCACGTGTCCTAATGAAAAGTCATATTGAAGAGACACATCCACGAGTAAAAGGTAGAATCAAAGGCAAAGGTCGTGCGTGACCCACAGGCAGGAGTCACTGTTCACAGTCAAAAGTCATGTTCACAAGTGAAAAGTCATGACTCAAAGGCCCAAGCAGCAGCAGTCCAATGGAAATTCGGGAAGGTTCTAGGCCTTGACATTCAGTAGCAGACAGGCCGTGGGGATGTGGTACCGGAACCAGTCAGGACCCAAGAAACAGAGGCTGGCACGAGTTGAAGTGCAAACCAAGACTACAAAAGGACTGGCCAGCCTCACATTCAGGCAGGTTGCTCATTCGCAAGAAGTGTGGAAGTGCTGGTGCACTTGTGCGCTGAAGTGAGGAGCGGAGCGCTGAGGCCAGAGTGCTGCGCTAAGTGAGGGAGAGAGAGGAAGATAGCGCTGGCAGGGAGAAGGCAGCCATAGCTGCGCCAGTGCAGAAGCGTTAGTGCTAGTTTTTAGTAGTAGACTCCAGAGGGGTTAGTAGAGTTGACAGTGGGTGTATTCAGAGTAGATCCATGAAGTAGCAGATAGTGAGTGTGAATGCTAGGTATATAACTAGCCATAGGCTTCTAATCATACTTGCAAGCGCACATCGTGCGGGCGGTTCCTGACGTGCGGTGCACGGGCCCAACCGATCCCGTACGTCGTGCGGGGAACGACCCGTCACGCCCCCTGAGAAAAAAAGAAGGCTGGGGGTCGAAATGGTGTGTTCGAGGCCCCCCGCTAAAATTCTAGGGCGATGAAAGAAAAAAATGCAGGATTGCTGCCTCACCTCGCTCCTCCTCCCCTTCCTTGTCCTCCATGTCTCCTCCACCCTTCTCCTTTTCGTCTCCTCCGACTCGTCCTCCTCCTCCCGTTCGCCTTCCTCCTCCTTCCCTTCCTCATCTCCTTGTCTCCTCCTCCTCCTCGTACTTACTCGTCTTCCATGCCTCCTCGTCTCCTTCCCTTCCTCGTATCCTCCCCTTCCTTGTGTCCTCCGCCTGGCCGCCCATGTCTCCTCCTCTTCCTGCCCTTCGTCTTTTCCCTTTGTCCATCTGTTCTCCTCCCCCATCTCTCCTCCTCCGTCTCCTCGTCGTCCTCGCTATCCTCGTCGTCCTCCTCGTCCACATCCTCCTCCTCCTCTCCATAACCCCCTCTCCTTGCCATATCCCCATCTCCCCGTCACACGCCCCCTGTCCCCCCCCCAAATAATAATAATAATAATAATAATAATAATAATAATAATAATAATAATAATAATAATAAAAATAAAAAACCTGCACGATTCCGAACAGGCACCCCCCGCACGGAACTCCGCACGTAACTCCTCACGAATGTGCGGCTCGTGCGGTTGCAAGTATGCTTCTAATCCGTTGTAGTCTGATAGATGAATGGTGGTCCCGTGGTACAGACTGTAGCCACCCTGGGTTTGTTTGCAGGTGCTGCTCCCACCTTGCTGAAATGGCTTGCTGTGGGCTTTCTTAAAGTTTCTTCCTTTTTTTTTTTTCTTCTTCTTCTTTTTTTCGAGTAGGTTTTCTGACTTACCCCTAGCTTTGTATGCTGGTTTTACAATATAGTCATGCATGGCTACCCATTTTTCAGCCCTGGTCCTTCCCTTTTTTGAAAAAAAAAAGTGATTTCGATTCATCTAGTTCCATCATCTGGACTCGAACTCTAGGTCTGTATTTCAACAGTTCATGGGTGTACCAAGTTACCAACTGAGCTAGGCTTGTTGGTGCCCCTTCCCCCTCCCGTATTCTCATGCCATCCCCTTTCTGCTGGGTCTACTTCTAAGTCCGCTTTTTATGTCCTTGTCTGGTGACTCTGGTCTGAATAGCCACATGCGTTCCTCCTCCTTTTTTACCTCGGGACATTGGGTGCATTGCTTTTTTTTTTTTTTTTCTGAGCTCGCTTTTTTTTTTTTTTTTTTTTTTTTTTTTTTTTTTTTTTTTTTGGATTCTTCTGAGGTTGTTTCTGATCGATAAGTGTTTTTCTTTTCTTACTTCTAGTGTTTTTTTTTTCCCTTTTTTCTGTGATAAATAATTTGGACCATTTTTCTCAATTTATGTGAGTCATCCTTGCACAGGGGCCGCACTAATGGATGTCCCGAAGGACTACTCTTCTACTATAGACATCTCTCGACTCTCTCAGTTCTGTATCTGGATTCGAACTTGGGTCTGATTCAAATTTCAACAGTTCGTGCGTGTGTACCAACTGAGCTAGGCTGGTTGGTTGCAAACCTGTTTTCCCCATTGCTGAAGGTATAATTCATGTATAGTTATTCATTTCTTCGGCAGTGACAATACATAGGCATCCGACTTTAGGCGCTGAGATCTATGCGTGCCCCTGGACAGGCGAAGCCCGGTGACACCGGTACACAGTAGTATTTAAACCTGACACCCAGGTACCCTAGTCCTTCGAATGCAACCCCAAAGCCATGAACCCATGCTGTAAAAACCAGACCCTAAACCTGAAACATGAAGACCGCCACCGAAAACCCTGTACAAGAAACTCTGCATGATCAAACACCCAAACCGCAAACCCCAAACGCCAAACCCCTCTGCATGCACCAAGCCCCTAAACCCCGAACCCCAAAGCCATGAACCCACACTCTAAACACCTGACCCTAAACCTGAAACATGAAGACCGTCACCAGAAACCCTCAACAAGAGCTCTGCATGGTCAAATACTCTAAACCCCAAAACCCCATACCCCAAACCCCGAACCCCGAACCCCAAAACCCCAAACCCAAACCCCAAACTCCAAAACCCCGACCCTCTGAATGCTTGAAAACCCCGAACCCCAAACTCCAAAACCCCGAACCCCAAAACACCAACCCCCTAGATCTCCTAGAGGCTAGACCCCATTCATACATGTCCCTACAGACTACGGGCGGGA